GTCAGAGGATTCAGCCTTACTCTTCCGGCTCTGACGACTCTCTCTGTGCTGACGGCATTTCAGATGATTCACTTGCAGAATCTGACGCTAGCTCGGAAGCATTGCTGCCCATCTGATGGTGTTCTCGAGTGTTCGGTTGTCTTCTTCTCCACGTCTGGTGTGTGTTTCTCTTCTGGTTTTGTGTCGTCAGAGGATTCGCCTTCCTCTTCCGGCTCTGACGACTCCTCTCCTGTAGCAGACGGCATTTCAGATGATTCACTTGCAGAATCTGACGCTAGCTCGGAAGCATTGCTGGCCATCTGATGGTGTCTCGAGTGGTTCGGTTGTCTTCTCTCCAACATTGTGTGTGTTTCTCTCTGGCTTTGTGTCGTCAGAGATTCGCCTTCCTCTTCCGCTCTGACGATCTCTCCTGCAGCTGACGCATTTCAGATGATCACTTGACAGAATCTGACGCTGGCTCGGAAGCATTGCTGGCATCTGATGGCGTCTCGAGTGGTACGGTTTTCTTCTCTCCAACATCTGGTGTGTGTTTCTCTTCTGGTTTTGTGTTGTCGGAGGATTCGTCTTCCTCTTCCGGCTCTGACAACTCCTCTCCTGCAGCTGACATCATTGAGTCCCAGCTGGAAGACGACATTGCACTCTCTGACTCGCTACTGGAATTAGATGATGCCTCTGACAACTCCTCATATGTAACTGATGGCATGTCGCCCCCAACAGAAGATGAGTCTGTTAGACATATCCTTTTCGGAGGTGGTTCCACTGAAGAAGAATAGCAATGATCTTCCTTCTCTTGCTCTCCTACGTTTGGGTCTTCAGATGCATCATCTAAATTTCGCAGCTCAAACATGAACTCCACCAGCTCCGAGACCTTGTCCAGCAACACTTGTGGGTCGACGAACACGGTTTTTGGGAGGATGGTGCGGAAATAGAACATGAGGCTCACTCTGTGGAAGTGGTCCAAGGCAACATCGAAAGAGTTCTCCGCCAGCCCCAGTGACTCTGCCACCTTCAAGCACTCCTGCCGACTCATCACCATCCTCCCCAGTCTCACCGCGATGCTCCTCAGCTTCTCTTCAAATGCCTGCCACCGCACGGGCAGCACCACCTTGATGGGCCGGCACTGCTCCAAGACGTAGCGTCTGATCTGCTCTGCCGTCTTCTTGTCCAGATGGTCTGGTTTCAGAGCGTTCATCTCAAAGATCAATTTCTCGGTGGTGGCCCAGATCACCTGACTGGCAAACTTCTTTGGAATCAGCTTTTTCAATCGTTTGTTCTTGTCTCCCACCGTTTCTGAGAGACACTTGTGCAGCTTGTCTCGATGGGTGCCAAGGAAGAGCAGCTTGAGGGGATCTCCCTTCGTTTTGGAGACAAACGTGTGCATGGTCCGCATGCTCAGCTTCAGGTTCTCTTCATTTGTCCGGGTGGACCGGTAGGGCTTGGACACGGCTCTTCCCCTTCGGTAGTAGCCGATGTTTGGGCGGTGGTCTAGTGGCTGGGAGAGATCGATGACCAGAATGCAGGCCGACGTCTGCCCTAGGAACACCGTCATGGCATCCACAAACTCGGGCTGGCCTCCGCTGTCCACAATGTACACACATGTTTCAGTGAAGACGGTCTCCAGGGAGTGGCTGGGGACGTTGATGAGGGATATGAACTCCTCCTCCACCTCGGATGACTCCAGCAGGGTTTCCACCGTCACCTCTGGGGCCTTGTCAGACGACTGGTCACAACTGGCCGTGGCTGCCATACTGGAGGCAGTGGCTGAGGCTTTGGTTTCTTCTGTGGCTACTGGTGAGGATTTCTGGGGAGAGGATGCTGACTCTGCTGCTTTGGGGGAGTTGTGTTTCTCTCTGACTACAGTTGGTGGCTGGGTGGGTGGCTGGCCTAGTTTCTGGGCACGGGCTCTCAGGATGCGGGCAATGTATTGCTTCTTTTCGTCTGCCGTCTTCTTCCTCCACCTCACCTCCTTCCCTTCCACAAAGACCACCTCGGTTTGGACAGGTCTCTTCAGGAGTGGTGTGCTCTCTCGTTCTCCCTCTGCCAGTGGCTCCTCGCCAGTCAGTGTCTCTAGGGACGTTGACTTCCCGCTGCCTGCAGTACCCACCATTGTCACTTTTGTGATGAGTCGTTCTGTGATTCCACGTTTCATCTCCTCTTCGTAGATCTTCTTGGCCTTGTTGCGACCTGTCAGAAGTAATAATATTATGCTATACTTAATAATATCCACACAAAATATGCCTGAGAAGTGGGTTCGACTAATAATTCGAAGGACTCAGTTACGTCACTGTGTCAGAGAGGGTGGAAAAGTGTGTCAAAGGTTTGCCAGGCGTCTATGCCACACGGCGTGTTTCAATGATAGCTACTTGGCACGTTAATAGGCACGGTTGCAAGTTTTTGCCATATGTACGTGTGGTGGATGTTTTATGGTCATCTCTGCAGTCAATGCGTAACTCACCAGCTAAGCATTAGAAAATTGCAAAACTATACAAGAGGTTTCTAATGCAACACACCTAATAATGTGGAAGCCTAAGAACTTTCAATAACTGTTGAGATGGGGAGACGGACTTACCAGTGGGGAACATGGACTGGAGTCTGTCAAGAACATTGCGGAACTGCTGATCATCATACATATCACCACACCAGTAGAGAGCATCTGAGACATGCTCCCATGTTGGGTGGGGATGTTGGGTGTGATATATTCTGATGAGCTCAACTTTCCTCTCCTCATCACTAGTGAACTGAGACTTGATCTGGTTCAACTTGGAGTGTGGGAAATCCAGTCCATCACCAAACTCCTCCCACTTGTTAGCTGGCAGTGTGTCCAGTGCTGCTCTCATATTGGAGGGAGTGAGGCTGGGATCTGAGAGTAAACAGACAGTGAACTATGATTGGAGAGTGAAACAAGCCTGTACCATTCTCCATATGTATCTATCTTACGATGACGATGACGGCACTGTTGCATACAGTGTGACTCTATCGTTACCACACCAACATGCACTGCCGTAAGCCACTACATGTGTGTAGTCACGCACAAATCAATCTCCCTCTCTGATTTTGGTGCAGATGGTTTCAACGTCAAAATTATTTTATGTGGTGTGCATCATGCATTATTATTCCTGTTTGCTTTTATGGCAATTGCTACAACAAATTGTGGTAGACATGCTAGTGTATACGGAATCAAAATCAGTAGCAGAAGCAACAAAATGCACTCACCATATGTAGATGGTAGATGTTGTCTGACTTCCTCCAGGACTGTGTGCTCCTCCAGATACCATAATGTTCCAGCTATCATCTCCCATGATGCACTAGGTAGGGTCTGGAGGTAGTACTGTAGACCTGCAATCCTTTTCACCTCTTCAGTTGTGTGCGATGGATTGGCCCTGATACGATCCATCACTGACCAGGGGACACCAAGCACCTCCAGCAGCCCCTCATCATCATCATTTCGCCTCCAGAACTGTCTCACAGAGGTCACAGCAGGTAGCAGTGTGTGTGGAGTGAGACTGTCATCTGGTAGGGAGGAACACCACTTGTACATCACAACGGACAATGATAGCTATAGTAGATTAACTAGCCAGAGAGGCTGCCACACATGTATGTATGGGGTTTTTCTTTATTCATGTGTTTACATGTATATAAGATTATTTTTGTCTTCGCTTTATTGTTTAATTACCATGGTTCGAAATACAAATTACATTATGTATACGGAGCTGTAACATTCCACGTAATTCTGAATAGCTCGCCAATAAAAAGT